AGAAAGAAAGAAAGAAAGAAAGAAAGAAAGAAAGAAAGAAAGAAAGAAAGAAAGAAAGAAAGAAAGAAAGAAAGAAAGAAAGAAAGAACTAGACTTATATATTTTTACAAACAGCAGCAGCAGTTTTATAAAACGTGACCTATTACTGAGTGAAGCAGCTCATACATCACGCTGGTCAGTGATAAATCAGAGAAACCTTCCCTTGTGCCATAAACTGTGGGCTTAAATATTAAACCCGACAAACACCAGGACACTGCAGGATTACTGGAGCCGCAGGAGGTTTCCTTCACTTGTTGTTTTATTTTCCTGCAATGAAACATTAGTCTCTCTTTTTTTTCCTGGAAGACATTACCCAGATGCTTTCTGTTGCTCTGTTAACACAAACAGTTTTGTGTCCCTCTGTGTCCTTTGTTAGGAACTGGTTGGATTATTAGCAGACAGAAGTGCAGCCATGTTTCCTAATCGTCTCCTTGTCTCTGGAAGCTCTCTACATGACATGAAGTGTTTCCTCCCCAAAGCATTAAATCATGTTTATCCTTTTTTTTAACTGCCTGTTGCTCAAGGCTAAAGGGTGATAGTGTCTTTGCTTGTAGCTTTAGTAAAACAACTCATGAGCCACTGGWCAAATTATAATGAAACTATCACAAAGTAACCACTGATTCAGTTTTGGCATAAACCCTGTTCAAGATACTGCAGCTAATTTGACAACTTTTGAGCTKAAATTGGATGAGGTATTAGCTGAGAGTCATTCCCAACACCTACTGAAGCATCAAATTCTAATAAATGCAGCATGTGAGGTGRCATGCATTCCTCAGAGAAATGCTGGCTTAATTGTGTACTTTGTACAATTCTTTACACCAGTTTAGTGTTTTATATTTTCTGTCTTATTATTTTATTGGGAGATACTTATCATTGTTCATCTGTGAAAGGTGCTATTAGTTTACCAGCTTGTATTRCAACAAGTTATAATGACTATCTCAGGTGTTAGAACCTCTTAAATTAATAAAACATAGCTAGTATGTACGTACAAGATTTATATCTCACTTGGCTTAATTATGCCAAAATATGTTATAGTAGATGAAACACTTGTTTTCCAGGGAACGGAACTGCATAAATGTTATTGTTTCTTTTCTGTTATTCTTGGGTTTATCTTGTGCCTTGTACAAGTTTTATTTTGTATTTCCAAATACTGCGAAAAGAAAATAACTTTTATAATCATTTCTCAGCAGTAGGGGGAGACCAAGTAAAATTGCAACACTTTTAGCTTCAGCACCTGTAACTCTTAAGCTAGAGTTCTCAAAATTTTAAACAAAGCAGCCACATCTGTCTACTACAAATGGCACCAATTCTGCAAGATTAGGTGGTGAGTTGATGTCGAAAACACTGTGTTCCTTTCTTACAACCCTACCCCACTAGAAGGTTGTAACACCTGCTGGGTTAAGTTGTAACAATTAGACAAAAGAAGCAAAAACAGAGGCCACATCATGCTTCAAAAAAAGGTTTATTGAAATAAAAAAACAATCCAGAACAGTATATTTCTCTCAGTGTAACTGACCAGAACACAAATCCACTTTCTGTTTGACTCAGCACTGTGTGTGTGTGTGTGTGTGTGTGTGTGTGTGTGTGTGTGTGTGTGTGTGTGTGTGTGCAAATTATTAGAACTAGAACAACTATGTTTAATGAATACTACACTGTGCCTGTGTAAAGAACATATAGGTCAAATAAAAAACAGTGTCAATGTGTTCGTTTGTATTTTGGGAAAATCCACATTTTACCTGAGAAGCCGCATTTCATGTAACATAATGCWTATGGTTTTATATGCAATAGTAGCCTAAAAGGTACTAAAATTATAGCCTTGGCTCAAAAATGAACTTTCTTACCTCAAAATTAGTTTTTTTCTTTACAGACTCTGCATGCACCTGTGGGGTCAGGAAATGGGGAAACACTGATATGATCACATGATGTGTGATTGGTTGAACTGGTGGTGTTACAACTCTCTCCGTGTTACAACCATAAAGTCTCCCCTATCTTAGATGCACTATATTGCCAAAAGTATTTGCTCACCCATCCAAAGGACTGTGCACCTGTGCACAAAGTGAGATCCAAAAAGACATGGAGAGAGTCTGGTGTGGATGAACTTGACTGGCCTGCACAGAGTCCTGACCTTAACYCAAAAGAACACCTTTGGGGTGGTTTAGAAACTGAGAGCCAGGCCTTCTCGTCCAACATCAATATGTGACTTCACAAATGTGCTTCTGGAAGAGTTGAAGCTCTTCTAGCTGCAAAGGGTGGACCAACGTCATATTGAACCCTATGGATCAGGAATGGGATGAGTCAGCCAATACTTTTGACAATATAATGTTTATAAATGCCCATTTAGGGACAAGTGCTGCAAATTAGCTCATGCTATAAGCCCCATGACACATGCATGGGGCTGCTGTTTTATTCAGTTTGTCTATTTTATTGGGCTCTCTATTACATGGGTTCTCAAACGTTTTGGGTCTGGGGACTCCTTACAAGGGCAAAAAAAATTCCAGGGATCCCCTCGTAAAACTTTTTTAAAGTGGTAAATGGTCGTTTCAACCCCTAACTGCCAACGGAATATATTTTTATTTAGATTATTATGTTTGTTTTATTAGTTCATTGTTCTCCATGCATTTAAAAAAATTAAATCCAAATCAACAATTTAGTAAAACAAAATTTGAGGACCTCCAAGATGCCTCTCGCGGACCCCAGTTTGAGAACCTCTGCTTTATTAAATAAGAAGAAAATTAAAAAAAAGGGAAGAATTTCCTTCAGGTCTTTTTCTCTGGACATGAACCCCATCGGTTTTTTCGCCCTCTGGTGGCCACAGGTGGGAACTGCACGGTGAGTGAAGGAACACGGTGCTCAGAACACACCGCCTCCCTGTTGCTGCACCTCACTGTGGGATCTGCTCGCGACCTTTCCCGACAACACACACGAGCGCAGAAACCTTTCTACCGGGCTCTGTTTGCTATGTGACTCCAGGACAGTCCGAATAGTGTCCCCAGAACTGGTCTGACTGCAGAGGAAAGTAAGGAGGGGGGAAAACGGGTCTATTGAAGAGGGTATTTTTTTAAACACAACTTGTGGAGGAGAAGAAGAAGAAGTCGCTGCTGTTCCTGGAGGAGGAGAAGGTGGAGGTGGCGGCTTCTTGTTCGGAGCCGTTTTCAAAAGTGTGAGACAAGTGTCGGGGGAAAGAGAGCAACAGATGTTTTTCGTGGACCTGAAGCCGGCGGAGGAATGAAAGCGGCGGCAGCGAGGCACCGGCGACCCTTCCAGCGGTTCTGCTACGGCGGAGTCGGGCTGGTCGCCGTCATTTGGCTCTTCCAGGTCATCCAGGCTCCAGGTGAGACCGTCAATTAGTCGCAGCTGCGCGCGTGCGTCGTCCTAATTATCAAAACCCCAACGACGAGTCAGTATTTTAACAATAAAAGTATATATTTTATATAAAAATAACTTTATCACGTGCAACACTTAGAAATAGAATTTATATATAATGTAAGAAGTCAACATTATACTAGTTAAGTTAAAATTAAATATTTTAATTAGCATATTATTGCTAAACTATAGTAAAGTAAATAATAAGCAAATGCACAATTATTTTGGTCTAAATATTTCTTTAAGTTATATAAAATTGCACMTCCTTAAAACACATTTCAGTGCACAGCCACATCACCTATCAAAATGTCTTTGTGTGTAAAAATAAAAGCCAGTTTTAATTCAGCCATGACTTTAACCAGGAAAAAAATAGGCAGCAAAGTAACACATGGTGCTCCATGATGATGATGATGGATGTTTTCAGCTTTTCCTGACATGACAGCAAACCCTGACTCTGGTTCTGTGCTTCTGGGGGATGATTGACTCAGTCCACCCTGCGGGGTGGGGACAGATTGTTGATCATGCAAAGCAGGCAGAAATTGTGGCATGTTTAAATCCAATCATTGTGGGCGACTGCAGAGGCCGTGGAGCATGCAGGGTGGGCTTTTTGTCTCAGAGAACACACTGTACATCCCTTGACATGCAAAAGTCTGGGTTTTTTTTAAATACACAAATTGTGATTCAAAGTATTGCACACTTTCCCAGGCATCGCCTGATAAGCACAGTTGATGATCTGATTTCTTTGCCACCCTCGGGGTGAAATATTCTTCAGACGGTGATTTCAGTGCATCGTTTTAGAAAAAGGGAACGTGCAAATTTGTGACAGCAACACAACGCTCTGCTGTGAGATAACTTTTTAGTTTAATGGTGCCGAATGGATGAACAAACAGAGAAGTCGGATTTTTCTAAGGCTGCTTGTTTGAGGCTGGGACAGTAGGATTTTAAAGGTAATCAAAGCCCTGCTTTGTGATATTGTAAGGTAGTGTCTGCACTGATAGCAGCATAAATCCAGACTGAATGCAGAGCTCCATCATGCCTCACTGTGCAGACATTATGTTACCTGCCTGCAGCCTTTCACTGACCAAACTGCTGCAGCCAGGTACGTCTGATTTGGACTCAYAAGTCCAGACTGCCTGCTGTCATGTTTCTGAGCAGAGTTCAGTCTCTTAGTCCTTGTTTGGCTTTTAGGCTGTAATTGTTCCAGAAAGACCACTTGTGGACAAAGCTTTGTGTATCTGCGTCCCACAGGTTCCTGGTTGCTCTGAGCTGAAGAAGTTTCCATGTCTGACCTGTGGTTATGGTCCTCGGTGTTTCCCGTTTCTTTGCGTTTCTTCAAAACGTTTGAGCAGCACATCGTGAAACCTCTTTATGATTTGAGATCTTTGTCTGCCAGCAGCTTGTTGACGTGGTTTACCCACCCTGTGTCTGTTTGACGTGCTCAGTGGATGACATGAATCTGTCTTCTACTACCTCAGCTTGGCAGCAGAGAGCGACTGGTCCTCACCCAGTTTGAAGCTTTTTACACAAATGTCTAATTTGGGCAATTAAACAACATATTTGACCAAATCTCTCCCTGTTGGGAGGAAACCGGAACACCTGGAGAAAACCCAACCAAACACAAAGCCACCACAGAAAGACACCAGGTTCAACACGGGGCTTGAACCCACAACTTTCTTGCTGTGAGTCAACAGCGCTAACCACTGACCCAGAGCTATTCAGGCAAATTAATTTTTTTATTGTTGTTTGAGTTGATGTATTTATGTTTTTATTTTTATTTTTTTATTTTTTTAGTATTGTTTTGTAAATTATGTTTCGTTTGAATATATTCTGAGGATAAAAGGGGCAGACGTAAAAGATTTATTCTTCTTCTGCAACCTTTCATTTTATTTTGATTGGTGTATTTTCTTGGTTTACTTTTTGTTATTGTATATAGTTTTTTTTAATGAAATGAATAAATTTTTTTGAATTGATTTTTTTTTCTCTGGGGGCCACAATTACACCACCAGCCAACAGCTCAGGGGTCCGACACTACATTATGTAAAATAACAAGTATTATTATCTTTTTAAATGTTGTTATTTTGTTGCATTGAATCCTAAATTTAAAATTTAAAATGGATTTAAACTTTTTTTAGTTATTTATTTTTACTTTTATAGACTTCATTGGCTATGGAGGAGTGAAACGGACTTATTATTTATGTTTTTTCCTTTTATTTGTGCATTTGCCTCTTAAATGTTTTTATCTATTTTTTATTGTTTTTCTGCGCAAATCTTTTTATTTTTGATGTGTTGCTTTGACATTTTCCTGCGCACTTCTGCCTCGTTATGTAAATAAGGTGGGCTGTGGGTCAGCTCTGCTATTGGTCAATAGACAGGAAGGAGCAGGGTGGATTGTGGGTACTTKTWMKKTYTMAGTTTWAAGTTTAAAACAAGGCACAGATCATTGTTTTCCTTCTTGCCTTTGTTTTCTGCTTTAATTTCTAATTGTTTCAGTTTCAGTCCTTCGTCATTGGTGGGCTTAACTGAAGTCACCCATTGGCCAGATGTGGCCCGCGGGCCGTCAGTTGAATAGCTCTGTGCTAAGCCATCATGCTGCCCAAATTAAAAGTCAAGATTTGCTTTTGAAAATTTTTAAGGTTATAAATCTAAAATATAAATATAATAAAAGGAATTAAGTCAATGAAGGTTTTTCATTATTACAGGAGATTCAATATGACACAAATATTCAATAAAATCTAGTTTTTGTTCCTTCCTTTATTTCAAAGTGAGAAACCTATTAATATCCCTCAAATATGAAATAAAATCCCAAAGGCACATAGTTTTTAATTTCAGAGTGTAATCAACTAAACAAAGAGTTGTTTTTAAGTTTTACAGCTTTTTTCAAATGAAGGAGCAGAAATTGTTTCTGACTCCTGCTTTACATGATGCTGTTTTCRAACCAAGGAGTGGTCACAACAAATAATGGTTTATTTTAATTTTGGATTAATAACTGATACAAAATAAAATATATATAAACATTTAAAGTCCACATCAGTTCTTGTGCAGTAAAATAAGCTGACGGTTCAACATCTAATCCAGCAGAGGTGCATCTCAGTCCAAAACCTGACCCCTCCACTCCTCTCATTCGTCACATCATCATCCTCTTGTTGCTGATGCGGTCGGTCGCACACTGTCTCACACACTCAGCGGATGCTTCAGCACCATTTTCCTCCTCAGCACCATGTGGAGTGCAGGGATTTGGATAGGTGAACTTTTCAGTCGCTGAGGAGTGTTTGATTTWCATTTTGGGCTCCATCCTGCTTTGGCGTGCCGGCCTTTGTGCCAGAGTGTCCCGTTGAATGAGCCTTGTCATTAATATTTATGCTTCACCTTTTAAATCACGAGTGTGCCTTCAACCTGAAGAGGTTTTCTGAACACAGATGGAGGCTGCTTGGCTTCAGCCTTTTAGAATCATTTGGCGGAAGCATGTGGTCTGCTGTTCATAAAGGTGACAGCACGGATACTCTGGGCAAATATTATATACACCGCTGCATCCTGAACATGTCGTTTATGGCCATTTATGGATATTCATGGACTATACTTGTCATCAGGAGGAGGTTTATGTTCGGAGATGAAGCATTTTTATGATTAATTGTGAAAATACAATTTAGACAGCACATGTTTTAAATAARGAATACAACCAAAATCAATTTGATTGAATCAAATAGGGAGCTGGATCCTGTCTCCASTGAATGCTTTGGTGGTAAACTGCCTTTCTGAATTTGAAAGAACTTTAGTTCACATG